AAAAAAAAAAAAAAACACTGAGACCTCAAATTTATGATCCATAGTTCCTTACAGATGACACAAAAACCAACAGTAAACTAGTATTACTTTAAACTTGCAAATATTAGCTGCATTTCCTGTGAATGAGCTTTCAAGACTTCTTCTAGTGGGTGAGCAAAACAACTATTTTTTTTTTTCGTTGTAATTTGGTAAACGAAATAATTATACGCTCACCTCGTCTTTTTTTTCTTTCTTTTTCGTTTTTTCTTCATTTGATTTTCTTCTATAAAATCATATGATCAACTCGACAAAATGCTGGCCACGGATTTTGGCGGTAACTAGAAGATCAGGCAACATCCAACGGCTCAGCTTCGGTATTTCTCTCCTTGAGCATGGACCACTCTTCCGACTCTGTGGAATAAGAAAAAGGTAAAGGTCCTTTGTTTGTAAAAAGATGTCTATGTTGCTAATGATAGCTGATAAGTGATTTTTGAGCTTATAGCTTATAGCTGAAGCTAACTTATATGATAAATGTGTAATGAGCTAGTTGAAATAAAAAATTAATTTGAAAAGCTACCTTGAAGCTTATGAGATAAGCTCGAGCTTTATAAAAAAGTTCGTCCTACCAAACGAAACTTATCCAAATACAAGAAGCTTATAAGCTAACCAAATAAGCTATAAGCTAACTTTTTTGGTTACCGAACATAGCCTTAGTGACTGCAAAAAGCCAACCAACTCTCATAATTATATAAAAAAATTATCCGAGTTTTTAATCTGTTTACATTCACCCCTTCACTAGCAAATAACATCATAACAGAAACCCCGTTACATATATAAGAAATTATCATAAGCCCCCCTGACAATATATATAAAACTGAATCAAACCTCAGGGCATTATTATAATTTTAAAAGTCGGCTTCTTTCTTAGTATTTGTTATTTTTTCTGTAGTTATGAAACATCAAATGTCTCTGTTAATATTATTGCAAGCAAATATGCAGATTTAACTATGACTCACTTGGCTTATCTCCAATTGCTGAAAGGCGCCTCTGCAGAATGGACGCCACAAAAAGGAAGATAGAGCACATGCCGAACATTACCGTGATGGGGAATGCATTAACCTGAAAAAAATATTCAAATGTAAACTATGGTGTCATATTAAGAAAGATGTTTAGTATCAAACAAATGATAAATATATTTTCCAAGAAATCATATATCTGAGATTAAAAATGCAGATATACGTAATTATTATCAAGCTGCTTATGCCTGAATACAGGTGGATGACAATAATAAAGCAAAATATAGAATACTTACATTATACAGCACGACACAAACAAATATATTTAGTGGGATACGGAAAAAGTTCATTATAGTGCTTCGAGCCTCCTCGGGGATGTATTGGGATCTCATTTTCATAATGGACGGCCAAAAGAGTCCAACACACGCTTCGAAAGTGCAAAAGCCAAGAAGCTGGAGACAGCCCGAGAATGAGATGCCACCCCCTTTTACCTTTGGAGCCGGCACCAAGAACTGCGACAAAAGAAAATAGGATTAGATATAACTAAAATCAAATTGAAAA